ACGTTGGTAAACATCGACCAGACTACACAGCGCGACAACCCAGAAGACAGAAATCTTCAGTAAGAAAGTTAATAGAAACACATGGACGTACAGTATAATCATCATTTGAGTATTTTGCAATCGGGGCAGTGTTAAGTGTTTCTTGAAAAAAAATCTTGTTTCTACAGAGGTCAGTGTCTCGATGAGGGTCAGAAGAATATTTGAAATGACTTTTCCATTTTATGGTGTACATCAGGGGTCGGCAAACATTTTTTGTCGAAAGGGCCAAATAATAAATATTTTAGGCTCTGCGGTCCAAGAGGCAAACTCGAGGATATTTATGTAGGTAAGCCTACTTATGTAACAAGAAAAAACTAAGTTTTAACAAATTTATTGAACAAAATGTAACGTAATAATAATAAGTAGAGTACAATTGTTTGAAACACAGCTCTGTTAATGAGAAGAATGAAATTGCCTCTTATGAGATAACATTTCACCAAACTGAGGTTTAAATTCAGTATTCCCTATCATCAAAATTTATTGTAAATTTTTATCTGTTAATGCTGACCTGTATTGAGATTTTACATATTTCTTCTTTGAAAATGTCTTTTCACACAGGTAGATGCTGCCAAATATAGATATAAATCCCCGAGCATATGATCTTAATTGACCGTATTCATCGCTTGTAAGACATTTATAGAATTCTGTTAGATTCTTCTCTTGAAATTTGCTGTTTAGCGTGTGATCACACTGCAGATTAATCACTTCCAATTGAAGCTTAGGTAGAAGATTCTCAATTGTACAGTCAAATGGTTTTTGAAATATGGAAATGTCTTCTGCACTTGCATCAAAATAGAATTAAATATGTAAAATCCGTTCTTAGCTCGCGGGCCGTACAAAAAGAGGGGGCGGGCCGGAGTTTGCCGACCTCTGGTGTAGATCCACCAATCGGCGCTGTGTTGAGATATTCTAAGATAAAAAATTAAGGTTACCTCCGATTTAAGGACAATATTTGCAATGAAGTTTGGCGTTTTAACTCGACTCTTTTATTTTACATACTATTCCCTTAGTTTTGTATTTAGGTGGTAAAGAGCATTACGATAGGCTTAACATATAGGAAGGAAGAAGTTACACATCAGTGACCACGGAATTAGTTTGAAAATTCACTTGGAAAATCGAGATTTATATTGATGTATGTATAACGTTTAAGATAAAAGTTAAGTCGAAAAGGGAAAGAAGGAAATAATTTTGGATAGTAAACAGATAACCAAGGAAAGGAAGAAGGGAAGAGAGAAAACTGAATCTTTGTTTAATTGCGTGGATCAGAGAACGAGTAATTGCGCTTAATAGTGACAGCCTGTTGTAATTTACTGTGACGTAGCCTGTGTTCGTATTTATCGCCTTATCTGTGGTTATAAATACGGGTAGTCGTCTCTGCTGTTAGTTTGATCGATATCAGGACGGCGACTAGTACATGTTAAGGTGAGTTTAGAATTTTAAGCCCCGGTGCAATTATTTTGTTTACAATTGGACAAAGAGTTGCCAGTCTCAGACGTCTGAAGTCAAGATTCAAAGGATTTTTTTTACAAAATTAATTACCGTCATTGTTAAATTTATAGTCTACTATTAAAAATTTGAATTAAAATACATAATTTAATTGGTTGTAAGATATAAACAAAGTGAATAATATTTTTGCTTCTTACGTCCGTGAGTAACAAAAAGGCTGTCTCATGTCACATCGCTTTGATGATGGAGGCAGTAAGTTCTTTGATATGCTGGTAAACGTTTATCACGCTGTACGGCGCTGCAGTCTTAAAACAGCGAGGTTTCAGTTTCGTACGGTGGGAGTATTAAGATAATTGTCTTATGTGGGTAGTAAGTACTTCTGAAACGTTGATAAATATCTGTGGGACAATATGGCGTAAAATCTCATTAGACAGCAGTTTTCCTGAAACGAGAAGTTTCACTAATACATTTCTCGTGATCATCTGTGTAAGAAGGCGGACTGGGATAGTAATCATGAAATTTAATTATTTATTTTTGAGTACGGCTTCTGCTGTTATAGTCTCAGTTACACGGCTCCTTGACAGACATTTTTATTGGCTACCTCTAAACACATGTTAGATACCTTAATTCTTACCTTTAAGGTTATCTTTGAACGAATTATTGTAATTATTTGTTGGAATTGCAATTTATTCTATCCTATCAATCTGCACGAATATAAATGCACAAATACATACATAGGCGCACACACACACATTTATTTACATACTGAACAGTGCCCTTTTTTAGTAACGAAGTAGCTTGTATTTAGGTGTGACAAAACAGAGGAAGGGTAAATTTTAGATAAATTATTTGAAATATTTTACATTACTTTCCCCGCAAGCCGATATTTAACTCTGTGTTGTGAGTTGAAGATTTTTCAACGTTCCAGAAAACATTGAAGATGTCATCTTCAGGCTACCCGTTGCTAAATTCGAGAGCCAAAATTATGAAAAGAATAATTAAAGTCAATTTACGATATCGGAAAGAATTCTCTGAAATGTTGATACCTACCGGCAAGTCTGCACGGCGTCACTACCCCAAAGAGTGCTGTCGGCATATTGATTGATGGGAACCATTGACGTTAGTTCTTGGGAGGTACACAGTTCGAATCTTGACTGGCTACACGATATTCTGAGGATTTTTGTGAATTCCTTTAGACGAATTCTGAGATGACTTAGGATACGCAACGGTCTCCTGTTTCCTACTTAAAGACATTAATGTTATATTGGCCTAACCTAAGCACTTGAGGAAACATCGTTAAATAATCTATAAGTTTATTAAATCAGGGTCAGATTACTAAGGTGCTGATAAATAGATTTTCCGTTCCAAATAATACTTAGAAACTTATGTCCTCTGCGAAAAATTTGAATTCGATTTTGTCAAAGGCTGAAACAATTGAATCCGAATTCAGAAAGAAATAGAAAATTGTAATTGGAATGCTTTTAAAGGTTTTGAAAAAGTATCCTTTTTCTTTTTGCAGATTCAGTAATTATTCGATAGCGAAATCTGTTTACAAGAAATAACCCGAAAGACGAACTATGTCAGTGACATCGCTCGACCATTTGAAATGCCACATGTGTTCGGATGGTTACGTGTGCGAACCGATTTACCCCTGCAAGAGGGGCCACCTAATATGTTCAGAATGTTCAGATCGCCAACATTGCCCAATATGTTGGAAACGTTTCCAGAAGACCAGGTCTTACGGTCTGGAGAAAATGGCATATGCACTGCTGATGTCTTGTCAAAACCGTGAGCGTGGCTGCAAAAAGATGATGCCACCAGACAGAATCGACGTCCATCAAAAGCACTGCGACTTCAGTCAGCGCGTGTGCTTGTCCCTTGTCGGTGTTGATGGTTGTTCTAGGTCCGGTACCCGCAGGGAACTGACCAAGCACATCTTAAACGAACACTTCGCTATCATTTCGGACAGTTTCAAGCACAACTTCGTGATTCAAAACTACAGTCTGATTGAAGAGTTTAGCTGCACTGTACTTCTGACCCATTTCTCTCACTTATTTGTGGCTAAACTCATGTACAGTGATTCAGAAAGGGCCTTTTACGGGGGAGTACAGTTTGTGAGCGGAGAACCACAATTTGCATCAGAATTTAGGTATGAATTTGAGATAGGGAAGGAGACAACAGACAAAGAAGCTCACTACAAATTGATGTACAGCAGACAGGCTCACACGATTTCAGAAGATTACAATGATCGCATTATTTCTGATAATTGTAATCAGTTCTGGTTAAAGAAAGACGTAGGACATTTCTTTAAAGACGTTAACGATACTTTAACAGTGACGGTGATATTGAAGAGCGTGCAGTCACTGGCAATGAAAAACGTTGAAGCATTGACAACATACGCGTTTGGTCCATCCCAGTACTGCCAACGCTGTGTTAGCTCGTTTAACCCTTCGGCACTGCGTTAATAAAATCAACGTCACTTTCGCTTATCGTGATAATCATAGTCAGTTCAAACGAAAGATTAATATTAAGACTCTGTAATCTACGCACACACACGCTTCGTGCATTCTTCAGGTGAAAAGTGTCTCTTAATAAGTGTTTCCAGCATTGAGGGGCCTTAGACGTAAAATGTGGTTAGATGCAAAGAGTTTATATTGAAAACTGTTTAATTAATGCCATTGGCGTGAATTAATGGAGTTTATCAGAAGTTATGCACACTCTGACGGAAAAGCCTCTCTGTTGCAAGTTTGAATCGTCACCGTTCATTTTCTTATCAATTACCAGCTTGTCTTCTGGTCAAAGTGTTCAGAAAAGTCTTTAATTAAGAATTAAGTCAATTTTGGGTTTTAGTCGGATCATCAACATAAAATCTTACATCTGTTACTGATTTCTAGGATATATATTATTGCCTGCTATAGTTATATAGTATTAGTAGTAGTGTATTAGAATATAAAAATAAGCAAACAAACAAACTGTTAACATTATAAATTACACTAGTGCCAAACGCGTTTCGACCTCAAGATGTCTTTATCAGTAGCAAAAGGGGAATTAATTCATATAATATGATCAAAATAAATAAGGTTTTAAAAAACTATATTTACATATAAATCCTTGCCCTTTGAATATGCAAACATATGAAAAGATAGCATCAATAACCTGTCCTCAAGATCTTACATCATAATTAACCCGTGTAACTCCACCACTGCAGCAGCACAAAAAGAATCCAGCTCAAACCTTGCCATCCTTAAAAATTTGATTACCCTCATCTATTTTAGTATTTCCATACCTTCTTCTTCTTTATTAGGCCGTCTCCTTTACAGGAGGTTGGTGACATATTATGAACAGGATCCTTCCATCCTTTTCTCGGATTGGGACCTGTTCATATACGTTCTTGGCAGATGATCCAGAAGTGGTTTGCCATTGCCTTCTTCTGTGTGTGAATGGAGTAATTGTTGGGATGCCACGGAGAAACCGGGGAATTCCCCGGAGGAAAACTCCGTGATGCCTAGACCACGGCCTTGCCCAACACAAGTTATAAATTTGAGCACCACCAGGAATTGAACCCGGGACCCCAGGATTACAAGGCTAGTATTCTGACCACTAGACCACCGTGGCGGTGTTTGGCACTAGTGTCATTTATAGTGTTAACAGTTTGTTTGTTTGCTTATTTTTATATAGTTATATATTGACTCTTATAATGAAGGTCTTGATTTAAATAAAATAATATTGTTATACATTTATTTGTAAACACGGTGATGGTAGGTGCATAATACAGTAAGTCCCGATTATCTGACCTAAACGGGACCAATGGGCTGTGGGATAAAGGAGAATATCGGATAATATAGAAGGCTAATGAATAAGAAGATAAAACTTAATTTATTACGATATTACTAAATTACGAATAAAATACAATGCATAGAATGAAAAAAAAATAAAAAAAAATAGTTTTTAACATGATGTAATTCTGTTAATAATTTTTGTATTGCTTCTGAGATTTTTTCAAGGTCACACCAACCCCTGAACAACATTAGTTGCTTTGTGGGAAGGAAGAATTCATTCCGCTGCATGTTAAATATACTTTATACACGGCACGTCGGAAACATGGAAAGTCGAATAATCGGGACTCTATTACATTCAGCCTTCTGACATGCAGTGATGAATTGCACAAAATATTCACATCGTATTCATGGAATATCAGCGTTCTTTAGAAAAATTCGAAAGGCAGCTTATTTGCGCGTAAGTGTGTGGTTCAATGGTACACGAAAGCTCGTCACAACACCTCAGTTAGTCTTTCCAAGTCCAACGGCTATTAATCGATTCAAGATAACTCTTCGAGATCTTTTGTTTTATATTCCGATCTCAACACTGTACAGATCCAATTAATGATGTCTTCGTATCTGGATTAAAGGGAAACTTATCTTAATTTGTTTGGTACCGACAATATGCAATAAACTCTAATGCAGACTGTACTCTAATATGTGGAAAACTTCATTGTGGAGACCGAAAGAAATAAGTTAAATGTATATCGTGCGTGAAAGTTTTGATTCCTTCTTCAGGATTTGACATCTGACATTTGATATTGTCGTCGTAATAACTATTGTAGCCAAAGTAGCCAGGAAATTCCAGACTTCGGCTCATGTACTTATAAAATTTTCATCATTGCTGTGTGAATCTAACCGACGCTGGAATGTGTCGATAGATGTTAATAAAACTCCCCATTAACATCTTTCTTGCAAATACATAGATTCTCGAGTTATTAGGTGCGTATACAGGAACGGATGGATGGACTGAGAGGGGAGATGGTAGCAGGCACTCCGGAAAATAGTTTTATGAAATATGCTTTTGATTATCTCATAACGTGATTACTGAAATTTATCTGCGAATTAACATACCTGTCAAAATTGAGGAAGAATACGACAAAGACTCAAAATATTGTGTGCGCAGAATAAGTTGATGAACTACAGGAGGAATAAAAGAGAATGAGAGGAAGAAACAAAGAAAGAAAGGAGATAAAACTGAAATAATAAATTGTTGATAATAGTGTGGTGTGCGTGAATTTGTAATTTGTCACTTGCCTCCATCATCAAGGCGATGAGTCTTCGCCCTGATGATGGAGGCAGCAAAGACCTCTGAAACGTTGGAAAACATCTACCAGACTACACAGCGCAACAACCCAGAAGACAGGAATCTTCATACTCATCGCCCTGATGATGGAGGCGGTATGACCTCTGAAACGTTGGTTAACATCGACCAGACTACACGGCGCAGCAACCCAGAAGACAGAAATCTTTATACTCATCGCCCTGATGATGGAGGCGGTATGACCTCTGAAACGTTGGTTAACATCGACCAGACTACACGGCGCAGCAACCCAGAAGACAGAAATCTTTATACTCATCGCCCTGATGATGGAGGCGGTATGACCTCTGAAACGTTGGTTAACATCGACCAGACTACACGGCGCAGCAACCCAGAAGACAGAAATCTTTATACTCATCGCCCTGATGATGGAGGCGGTATGACCTCTGAAACGTTGGTTAACATCGACCAGACTACACGGCGCAGCAACCCAGAAGACAGAAATCTTTATACTCATCGCCCTGATGATGGAGGCGGTATGACCTCTGAAACGTTGGTTAACATCGACCAGACTACACGGCGCAGCAACCCAGAAGACAGAAATCTTTATACTCATCGCCCTGATGATGGAGGCGGTATGACCTCTGAAACGTTGGTTAACATCGACCAGACTACACGGCGCAGCAACCCAGAAGACAGAAATCTTTATACTCATCGCCCTGATGATGGAGGCGGTATGACCTCTGAAACGTTGGTTAACATCGACCAGACTACACGGCGCAGCAACCCAGAAGACAGAAATCTTTATACTCATCGCCCTGATGATGGAGGCGGTATGACCTCTGAAACGTTGGTTAACATCGACCAGACTACACGGCGCAGCAACCCAGAAGACAGAAATCTTTATACTCATCGCCCTGATGATGGAGGCGGTATGACCTCTGAAACGTTGGTTAACATCGACCAGACTACACGGCGCAGCAACCCAGAAGACAGAAATCTTTATACTCATCGCCCTGATGATGGAGGCGGTATGACCTCTGAAACGTTGGTTAACATCGACCAGACTACACGGCGCAGCAACCCAGAAGACAGAAATCTTTATACTCATCGCCCTGATGATGGAGGCGGTATGACCTCTGAAACGTTGGTTAACATCGACCAGACTACACGGCGCAGCAACCCAGAAGACAGAAATCTTTATACTCATCGCCCTGATGATGGAGGCGGTATGACCTCTGAAACGTTGGTTAACATCGACCAGACTACACGGCGCAGCAACCCAGAAGACAGAAATCTTTGTACTCACCGCCGTGAAAACCTCAAATCCTACATAGTTATGCATTTCATGTACATTTTTCAAATACTCAATGTCTAGCTTTCTTTTGAGACGGGAGGTTTTGAGCATGAAACCTGTAAACGAAAATCACCAGATCACCAAGTCTATAAGCCCCTGTTAATCACTACAACCCCAAGCCAGCAAGACACGTCTATTTTATTCAATACCATCGGCTTTAGAAAACAAGAAATGTAATGTAATTTATTATAAGAAATTGTTAGGCTAAATTCTTACGAGACAATATCATGAATTCCTATTCAGTGTACTTGTATCTACACTTTTGATTATTTTCGTTTGTAAACACATTCCCAAGAATCATGAACATGTATCACAGAGTCCTTTATTCGCTGTTCTTGGACAGGATATTCGGCTATTTATTTAATTACCACCTCTTTCTTTACTACGTTTTTATACTTAGAATACTTAGGCGACCCGTTCTTCAGTGCCTTGAGCATCTGCGGGTCCCAACCTTTCGTTGGCTTGATCTATAGACATTCGGTATGACTCCTTGGACGAGTGATCGGCACATCTCATGGCCTCTACCTGTACACAGGACAACACAACAAAGAAAAACGCGGACAAACATCCAAGCCTTGAGTGGGATTCGAACCCACGGTCCCAGTTACCAAGCGGCCACTATGACGGCAATTTTGAAAGACTCTAGTGAGATTCTAGGTTCTCACGGCTCTGAGCATGAAGATGACAGCTACCTGGGATGTTGCACTGTGTAGTCTCATCGAAGTTGATCCACGTTCAGAGGTACCTACCGCTTCTACCGATCAGGACACCTGATCTAATCAGTATCGGTAAACAAGTGTGATAGATATTTGAAGATTGAACTAGACATGTTTTACCAATATAAGGAAAAAATCTAAAATAAATAGTAATGTTTGTTTTATAGACAAAAACATCTGTTGCAAAGTGATAAGGCTATTTAGAACCAACGGTTCTTTTCAAGGAAAACACTGCGATAATTTGAAGCCTCAAAGCTGTGATATCTTAATGCGTGTAGGTAAAATGACATTGAATTTTGCAAGTTGCGTTTCGAAGGTCAAGTGAACTTATCTCATCGTAAATTACTATTGTTTACGACTTGTTACAAGTATTATAAGTTATCACTGACTAAGCGGTTTATTTCTGGTTCGTAATGGCTTAATCTCATGTTATATCTTGTTTCCCTGCGGTTTATGTGACGACGTTATAAATAACTCAAAAATATGTAACACAGAACAATATTATGATTAATAAATCGGAAAAAATGTGACGGAGTCACCATGGACTAATTTAAGGTACTATTCCCGAATGTTCGTGGAGCCTTTAATCCTTTAAAGCCAAGTATAACTTAAATTATATGCTCTATCTGCTTTAAGAATAAACAAAACTGAATTTTGTATTTTTGTGTTAGGTATGGTTCTGACTCCAAACCGCTATTATTATACGTTCTTTGTATAAAATGCATAGCTAGAACGCGTTATGAGCTAGTTGTGTATGTCCGTCCGTCGTTCCAATCGATTCATCTCGAGAAGCACTGAACGGATTTGGATGAAATTTGGTGTGGTGGTTGTGCTGTTCTGCACGACCTCAAAAT